TACTTGAAGACTCATGCACGTTTTTCTTGGCTTAGTGGGGTTGACCTTGGCCGTGTGTTGCACCACATCTGCCATACAGGCCTTGGTGTGATGGGCAGGTTGATCAGTCCCTATAGATATCCCCTACATGGGGGAGATGTTAGAAGGATGCCAAATTTCAATTTATACAGACTCACAGGGAATCAGACTTAAAATAATTATATTTTAAAACTAAATTTCAATTAAATATTATTTACAAAAATGAAAAGAAAGGATTGACTAAAAATGAACTTACAAGGAACTTGTAATAAACTTTGAAAAGCCTGTTTGCGGGCATAGAACTCCTCTACCACAACTAAAGACACTTGCAAATCTCAAGAATCCACTCGACACATTAAACTTAAAATGCAAATTATTGCTTTGCTATTTATAGGTAGGAAGAGATGTTATGTGGGTCTCATTTGCTTTAATTTAACCGATGTATGGATGAATTCCATCTGATTTGAAAGCCAAGGGAATACGAAAATAGAATCTAATTCAAGTTCAATATCATCGAATCCGCACTACATATACACGAGTGGACAAAAGATATTTTAAACTTCAAAATAATTATTGCTTGCATGCTAACAAGAAATGTTTGTGCAAAGCAATCAAATATGAATATTTAAAATTCACATGAATCAGAATTGAACTTTAAAATTTAAACATACCACCTTGAGGATCGTACAAGAGCCTTGAAATGCATGTCACTGACTCAAGGAGCATTTTATCACCTCAAGAAGTGAGTTACTGCTTCGAGAACCATGCCACAACAACAAAAGGCATATGGTTGTCTTGAAAAGTGTGCAATAATACTATGAAGCATGTTGTTGCCGCAAGAAGTGTGCTACTATATCGAAAAGCGTGTTATTATTTTTAAAATGAGGAAATACAATGATTAGTGAAATTGTGCGAATATGCTATGCAAATGTACTAAAATGCATGTAAGTTCATCGTGTGAGCGCACCAAAAAATGCTCAACTATGTTTATGGGGTGCAAATATGCTATGTAAATGCACTAAAATGTGCACAAGTGCATCCCGTTAGCTTATTAAAAAGTGTGCTAATACATTAAAAGTATGTGAGTGCATTGTAGAAATGCACCAAAAGCCCGTTCCATTCCTGCACTTCAACCGTCCAACTTGAATTATATTAATACTATCCCAATCTATTTTACCATAACTCTGAACAATATACCCAAAATATCTAAACGTGTACTCTTATTAGTGACTTGATTGCCCAAAGTCACAATCGCCCCATCAGATCTATTACGACTAAAATTATACTCCATATATTCGGTTTTAGATCTTCTCAAATGAAAATATTTTGACACTAAGGTTGACCTCAATAATTCAAGTTTATCTTTAACTCCCTCTCTAGTCTTATCAACAAGAAGAATATCATTAGCAAAAAGCATACACCAGGTACAACATCTTGCAAATGTCTAGTAAGAACATCCATGACTAAATAATTTTTTTTTTCTTAAGGTTGATCCTTGATGTAATCCAACTGAAATAGGAAAATACTTGATCAAACCACCTTATTTTTTAACACAAGTATTAACTCCTAACATGCATATCCTTAATGACTTGAATATAAGCATTATTAACCCCTTTCTTTTCTAGAACTTTTCATAACACTTTTATTTGAACTTTATTATATGCTTTCTCTAAGTCAATAAATATCATATGCAGATCCTCCTTATTCTCTATACTTCTCTTTCAAACCTCTCAATAAATGTATAACTTCCATAGTTGTCCTACCTGGCATAAATCCAAATTGATTTTGAGAAACATTAGTATCACGTTGTAACCTATGCTCCATAACTCTTTCATAGTTTTAAAGTATGATACATTAAATTAATTCCTCTATAATTCGCATAATCTTTTGCATCACTTTTATTCTTAAAAATATGAATCAACACACATTCTTCACTCATCTGACATCTTTTTAGTTTTCAAAATAATATTAAATGGTTTAGTTAGCCAAGAAATTCCTTTATCTCTTAAGTTGATAAGATTCAAATAATATAATAAAATTATTTAAATCCCTAATAGTGGTCGCTTAACTAGAGGGGTTTTAGAAGATGCCTCCAAATTTTAAATTTAATCTCTTGGGGATCGAATTTGAATAAAAATATAAAATTCAATATCCATCAAAATTAAAAAAAAAATACTTAAGTGAAATTAATCATGTAAAATTTAAAGCAAAAAATTTATTCACCCTCCACAACCATTTGGCAAGGGTGATGGATTTAAAAATAACCTCATATTGCAAATAACAAATGTCTAGTCGAGAATATTACTAAGATTCATTTTTAAATAATCTCCTGTTAGTATTAATGTGTTATGTATGAATATGATACATGTTCTCTAACTTGTGCTATTTCAACAAAGTGTCATCACTAATAAGTAGTTCTGATCAGGTAATTTTGAATTTGATAGACACCATTATATTACGGTCACAACCATAGCACTTATGTTCCCCAATAAACTCTTGAGTAATGAAATCATATGGTGTACTTAATAGGTTATGAAATCCTCAATTAGTTTAGGTCAATTTGGATTGATCTATTAGACAATCCTCCACCATCAGTCTATAGTTTACTCTTGGACAAAACAACCCATGTCTGTTGATAAGGATCCTTTAGTCGGGTTTGGTCGACTACCTCTTCTGACTAAGTAGACTAGGGTCCATCACAAATCGAGATGACGGAACTATGATATCTTGATTGGGCTTGTCATCATTCCCCCACCATTCTTTTTAAGTGTAAGGTGTTAAATTTCAAATTATAAAAATCAAATATGTTACTGTGCTTATCTAATAATTAGCCTTAATCGAAAGTGTTCTCTGGTCACTAGGGCAATTAACCATAGGGTCTTGTGCTTATGAGAATTCTGAACTCAGATCTTAAAGTTCTTGCAAAATAAGTGCGGAATATCTGGGTAGTGTCCTATTTTTAATATAATTTGCCTTTTGAAAATTTGACCTGAAACATAGTGGTTAAAACTCTTCTAAAACATAGAAAGGTCAGAGCGCAGAATTTTTAGAGTCCATAGGCTTCTAGGTTGATTTATTTAAATTGTACTTTAAATTTGCTCCTTTATTCTCGAGAGTGTTGTCGAAAATCCCTCGCTATCTTTGAGTTAGGTATTTGTAAAAGCTATAGCCACCCAATTTACTTTTTCTCGTTGATATGGTTTCTTGGCCAACTTAAGCAATTCAACTATTATTTTTGGTTGTAGAAGCTAAGGCATGGCATAATGGAGACTATTTGTTCCAGATCCTAGGCGTCCAACATCTCTCTTTAGAAGAAAGTCACGAAGTGGTATATGACTTGTCAAACTCCTATCTTAAATTCCAACACTGCCTTATAATTTTTCAATAGCCTTTCCATGTTTGGGAATTGCGATAAAGTGACTTTAAAAATCTGGGAAAGAGGTAACACCCCTCATAGGTAAGCTGGAAAATTAATAGAGAGTTGCCTTCTCTTGAATGCGGGAGACTATTTTTTTCGAATCCTAGGCATCCAACATCTCTCTTTAGAAGTCGTGAAGTGGTATAATTACTTGTCAAACTCCTATCTCATAATCCAACATTGCCTTGGAATTTTTTCAGTAGCCTTTGTATGTTTGGGATTGCGGGATAAATTGCCTTTTAAAATTTGAGAAAGAGTAATGCTCCTCGTAGGTAAACTCGAAAACTACCACAATGATGCCTTCTTGAATGTGGCGAAGAGTTTTTTGCACTCCACCGCTTCATTGACATTGAGGAGGGATATCATCGATTTGAAGTGATGTGGTCGACCAGGTCAAAATTCTCTCAGTAAGAATTCAGACCAAGCATCTTGAACTTTGATTGTAGTTGAGCCTTTGGGAAAGTGTTCATAGATTGAGCCTAATGCTTTTTTGAATGATTTCAGAGAGGAGTCTCCACTTCATTAGGGATGTACAACTCATCATCAAAAAGAGTTGAAGTAGCAGCTCTAGCGTTGAGACGTTGATGTCTGACTGGCATCCTTCAGGGGATTGAATGGAGCTACATGACAAAAGCGTCTGAAGATTTATTCGATCATCTCAAAGAAAGAGAGAGTAAGAGAGTAATGTTTTACATGATAGCACACAACTAAGATTTGGTGTTTCTAACTGTGTAAATAAAGAATCTAACTTGTAGGTGTTTGCTAGGCCAGAACTTTAGGTGAGTTATGAATTAAGGCTGAAGGCCTAACTGGTTCAGCTGATGAGTACTCTGGGCAATTGGTTGAATTTTTTTGGCAAGTAGCTTTGTCGAATTGGTGACTTTGTGAGCCCTTTGGTGAGTTCAGTGGCTCAGTTATGAGGGCTGAGTAAGGTTTAACTTGTATTGCTTTGGGCTGACTTGGTGTGTTACGATTTGTAGGTGGTTCAAGCCAATTCACAATTGATGACTTGTTGAACCCGATTTAGGATCTAATGTGGATTTGATTGACTTGACCCGAAACGAATGTGGGTGTAGACATTTATTAATATTTTCTTCTTGGTTTCATTTGACCAAGCATAAATTTTAAGAATGTTTGGGAGATAAGAAATCCAAATTAGGTAAAAATAATAGAGAATTCAAGTAAAATAATCTTTTAATACCATTTAACGGTCTGAGTCATGTGCAGTTGCCATTAAGAAATGAATTGGGTAATAATTGGAACAATCAACTTGTGAGAATTGTAATTGATAAATATCTGCTGTTGAATATGGGAACGGAGGGTCAATGGCCATCTGTTTCTAAAAAGGAATGAAATTCATTCGGAAAACAGATAAACCATTCAAAGGAAAGAGGTCATGATGAGTTTCTGGCCGTACTTTAGTTTTCCAGTTCAGGAGCTTTGCTTGTATTTCTTCATTTGTCCAACTCCAATTGTAATTTAAAATAAAAATGAGTCAATTATCTCCTACATCGTAATGATATTATTTCCTCTTTTTTTTTTTTTTTTTAAACTGATTTGCAGATGACAGTATGACCATCTTGATGGCATTTCAAACCCCAGAGATAGATGTTATTGGTCTGACTACAATATTTGGTAATGTCAGTACTGTGGATGCTACTAGGAATGCTTTACTTCTGGTACGTACTGTTGTTTTCCTATTTGTTGTCCACATTAGGAAGATCATTTCCGCATGTTTAAGTCAGCATTCATTAGATTGTGATTTTCTTTTTGTTCTTGCAATTTTGGTTGATGAGCATATCTATCTTCTGTTATACTTTATGTTTTGTACAAGGTAGTGTGAGATTGCCGGCCGCCCTGATGTTCCAGTTGCTGAAGGAGCTCACGAACCTCTAAAGGTATAGCCATCGTTATATACAAGTTTTACCTCAATTAAAACCAGGTTTTACATCATCAACTAGAAAAGTTACTTCTAGAACAACCATTTTTCAGTTTTGTGATAGAGAACAAACTTATACTATATTTGGTTCCATTCCCAGAAAGCGCTCATGAACCTCTTTTGATATGGATATTACTGTCACTGCCTGACCTAACATAATACTACCACTCTAGCAGGTTATGCCAATATCTGTCGGATAGAGTAGACAAATCGTTTTATCATACTCATTTATTATCTTTCATATTAAGTTATCTTTGATAAAAAAAATCTTTAATCATCATTTACATGAGTCACATTGTGTGCTCACACCATAGCGAACCTGTACAGTTGATTTGATCAAGAAATTCTTATCCATTAAATACAGAATCTGGCATATGATACATTATTTATACACCGAGTTCAAGTTCTCAAATGATAAACCATTTAAATGATTCCATTTTACATTCATTTCTAACCAGCACTTCCTTCAAGTTGTCATTCAGTTTGTATATTCTCAGCCTCACTCAATGTATTTCCTGTAGTCACGCCTGAATTATAATTATATAATTTAGGTGCGAACAATATGCTCCGTTGACAATACAAATTTATTACTTAGCAGGTGACTGAGAATTCAATATACATAACTGTATTATTTCAAACATCTTCTTGAAAGCATACTCGACATATCTCATTTATTCATTCGGTATATAACATTCATAAGCTTGCTGCATTTTCTTTATCTATCCATATGGAGCGTGACATGAAGTGATTATCAAAGAGGCATCATTTGGGCACATGCCTGTAGTATGCTCTCCTGCATGTGCTCTTTCAAGCTTCTTGCACAAACGCTTGGTCTATTTAGGTTAGTTGTAGGTGTACGTAAAAGTAGTTTGGAATTGAAGGAAAAACATGGTTCTTGAAAGTTGTTATGGGTATTATGGACTTATTCTTTCTATAAAAATTAGGCAACAACTTTTTATATATTTGTCTTATTCTAGCAAATATGGTGGGAAAAACTCCCTCGTCACAGAGATTTGTAAAAAGTAACTAGAAAGTTGTAGCCAAATATAATTGTAAAAGTGACCTATTAGATGAAACTATGAAAATGCTATATCTAATATTTTGACCTCTATATATGCTTCAATGATTGGTGATACCAAAGTTGGCAAAAAAGACGGTCAACAAAACATAACGTCGCCTAGAACGAGCATGAAAATCCCTCAATTGTGCACAACACTACCTTTAACATCGCTCGATTACAAAACTGATCGGACAAATGCACTCAGAACACCAAATTATCAAGAAAGAGTCATTTGTGCGCAACATGATTGAAAATCACAATAAAAGCGATTGTTAGCGGGTACAACACTATACATGAAACTGCTTAAACAACTTTATACATCAAACGAACTATGGAGCTGTGTTTGGAACATCAAATTTAGGACCTGTCATGCAAAAGTAGGACAAATACGACCAAAATCAACGGTCTATGAGCGTTATATTGTGTGATGTTACCTGAATGATGTTTGATCACAAAACAGACTTCGCTGTTGTGGTCAGAATGTCAAAATTATCTAGAAATGACTATCATATTATATGATTTTTGAGGCGACGATGACATGAAAATTGAGATGCCCAATAAATAAGGAATTTTACAAGGGCTTATGTTATCTAAATTTATATTAATATATATATATATAAATATAGTGTAGTATTTAATTAATAAAATAAAATAGAATATCTAATCTAATCCTATTCATGCAGCTTGCCTAGGGGTGTCAAAATGGGTTTTTGGGTCGGGTTCACGTCCAACCCAAAACTAACCCACCTTTAACTCACCTAACCCGATTAGCGAAATGGGTTACAAGCTCAGACCCGACCCGCCTCTAGCTTGACCCGACTTGTTGACCCGTATAGCTTGGAAAAAAAGAAAATTGTCTTTTTCAAATTGTACTATTTGTAAAGAAAATCAACATTAATTTGCCAAAAAATATATTCCACATAAATATTTTATTATTATATTTGAAACATACAAAACTTCAAGGCAATTTAAATACTAAATTGAAATATTTAACTGATTCAATTACTGTTATAAGTTACACATATAATTATCACTAAAACTATTATCTACAAATATACTTTAAGCTATTAAGCATTTTAGCTTTGTTGCTTTGCTTCCCCAAAACTCTTGGTGAATTTGTCTTTGAATAGATTTGTGGGCTCCGAAAATTCGGCCTCCGCCTACTTATGCTTGCTTTTTTTTTTCTTCGAGGAAGGAGTTTTAATGGAATAAGTTTCGAGGTAAATTTTGGAAGGAAGATGGGTTTGTAGATAAGACACTATCTAGATATTTCGCCCTCATTTTGCGAGGACTTTATGATCTGAGTTCTAGTTTCCTACTGGCGCAAGCACCTATAGTTAGTTACCCCTCCCAATCATTAGAGAGAACTTTCGATTAAAGCTAGTCGTCAATCAGATACATAGATATATGTGTTATTTGGTATATAATAGCAGCATGGATTTGTGAGTTGAAGAGCTTGGAAATGGTTGAGAATTTGAAAGTTTGATATTTAAAATTTGAAATTTCACCATCTTGCACTTAAAGCGGATGGTGGGGGAATGGATGATGGACCCGATCAAGATCCCATGGTTCCGTCGTCCCGGGCCATCGTGGTCCTTGGTTTACTTAGTCAGAGAAGGTAGTCGACCCAACCTGACAGAAGGATCCTTGTCGGCAGCCATGGGCTGCTTCGTTCAAGGTTACCTTGTAGACCTGGGGTAGATATTTGCTTAAGGAGACAAATTTGAATCCACCTTAGCTAACAGAGGGTTTGTGCCATATTGATCATATACTGTTGATTCATATCTCAAGGATTTGATGCCACTAAGGAACGTATTGGCTCTGGCCATAACCAGTATTTCGTGGTACCATTTGATGGCCAAACCACTCAGTTCAGAGGGCCCCGGGTCATAACCGTTTATCCTGAAATGCCATTTGGCGACAAAATCGCCGGTTAGAGGACACGTACCACGTCCTTATTGGCAGGAGATTATTTGAGAATGAATCATAATGATATTTTCGACTAGGCATTAACTCTTTGTGAGCTGAAGTAAATTTTAATTTTTCCACCCCGATAAATGGTTGCGGAGTGTGGATGGAATTTGCTTTAATTGCTTGACGTTTGAATTTCAATTTTTAAATATCCGGATTTTGGGATTTTGAGATTTGTAGGATTTTTTGATTTTGGATTTTGTGGGTACTTAAGATGACATTTTAAAATATCTGTGGACCCCTCCAGTTGAGATCTTTGTTCAATGTGGCTATCATCGGGATGCAAGGGGTTACTTCTCTTTGTTGATTGAATCTTGTCGACCCTATCAACTTGCCGATAGGGGATTGGGTTTCATAGGATTTATGCCTTTGTGAGTGAATTATCTTAATTATAGGTCTTGAAGGCCTAATATGAATGTATTAAAATAAATATACCGGTCGCCGCAACCTTATATTTATTTGATGGTTCGAACCCTGTCGACTCCTATTGATCTGTATAGAAGGATCGTATTCGAACTTGATTTCACTTATTGACCCGCGCAGCATCCCTAGACGTCATGTGTATATTCATAACACGCTCGCCGGGGCCTATGAGGGTGTTTAGGGGCATTTTATAATTATACTATGTCTACTCCTTTTTATATGCTTAGGAGGATCGAGTTCAAATTTAATAACCCGCGCAGCATTTTTAGACGTCACGTGTGTACCAATAATACGCTCGTCGGGCTCATGCAGGTTTGTGATTGCATTTACCTCTTGTGTACCTACATGTATGCATATTACGGTGCATGTCGGGGATACTTTGAAATACTTGTAATTGTGCAAGTAACTGCCATTTGAATGCACATAATATTTCATTTTGAAATTTGAACACGCCTTCTGTTCACTTGTATAAGTGTTGTGGATTCAGTGGCGTTACGTAGCAGCTTGTGAATTGAATTGTTCTCTGCTTTATTCAAGTAGACTGTCGTGCATGAATTATTGCTCTTTGCAGTTGGATTATAGTGCACTAACCAATCGCCTGTTTTTTTTCCAATAGATGTTGCTATCTACTGTAGTTTCCTTGCATCATTCTTGTAGACGGCATATTAAGTATGTAATAGGCTTCCTACAGTAGCTCGTAGGAATTTGCCTTTTGTTGCATTATTCATTCATATTTATAGGAGAATTCATCATACTTGTAAAATACACAGTACTACGACTTGTGAGCACAATCACTATATCAATTACAAATTTTAGGTTGCTCGTAAGGGATCGACCATCCGTGCAATATCTCTACTACTATTGTTTGTAAGTAGATTCATCACCTTTTATATGCATATTAACATAGACTGCTGAATGGATTGCATTCATCAATAATATTCCCATGTATGTTGATTGATTATTTGCTATATTTGCTTGTGTATCTTTTAGTAATTGTAACAGCCATTGTTTGTATCCATGAGATATCTAATGTCGGTTGTAGGGGAGTTGTTATTTTCACATCTTAGCCATTGTCATCACTCATGAGCGGGCTAATGTGTTTACTATGTTTCTTGTAGAGAAGTTAGATCTCTCTACCTCCCCCACGAATGAATTATATCATTCATTAGAGACCCCATTTTGTAGCAAGTGGTATCCAAGGCTCTTTGTAGCGGGCTTCCTTATTCATATATGAATCTCCTGGTCATTGCTCCCGAGTGAGATATATGAATCATTGCTTGTTCATTTGAATACCAAATCCCTCCACTTGTATGGGACAAATGTATTTGTTTGCATGTATTTCAGTATTTGTGAAAACTATTATATATTTGTGAGATATATAACCATTAGCTGTCATTGATAGTAGGCGGACTATTTTCCTTGTGACCTCTCCACTTTGCTTGTGGATGTGTTGCATTCATTGTGTATTGCTCTCCCCCCATCAATTGCAATCGGATTGACATATT